TATCCAAAAAATTGACCCGGATATTCAATAATTCGTACCCTTGACGCGCCTTCGTACGGACAGCATTACAATTCAAGGACAGTTCTAAAACGCTACTCTTGAGAGCCACAATCCGCTTCTCGACAGCAGAGCCATGCGCTTTCGACTAAGGAATCTACGGGTGGACTGCGAGCATGCAAGCATAGCCAATGTTCATATCGGGCGCCACAGTTCTTTGCGAGCGCTGAAGGAAATCAACGCTTCCTTGTAGGAATGTTTTTATTGCCCACCGGCGAAGGAAGCGGAAGCTTGGATATCCTTTTTCATCGTTAAGGTTACCTCAAGGGTTTTGAATTTTGAGACCCGATTGACGTGTTGCGCATCGACGTGCATGGACTGGTTTCCGCTTACGAAGAGTAACACCAGTTGCACCCCCTCTCCGCTTTTTTTTCTTTTTGTACGGAAGACTCCATATTGCCTATTTGCGTCCATAGTTGCACGCGCTAAGAGAGGTACAGCAGACCCATCCGCGTTATAGTTATTCGTTTTGAGGAGTCATCGGTGGATAACTACCAGATGAATAGCGGCCTTCAATTTGGCGCGCTTGCCACACAGATTAATGTAGATCCAGTGTTTCGGTTAGGTTTTAAGCTCTGATTGGTCGAAGTCAGACTCCCCATTGTGTATGTCCAGTTCTTCAGACACCACGTTTACAACTCAAAGAAACTGCTGATCCATCGAGGATAGCACTCTCAGTATTGATCCTGGCGCTAATAGTAGACGATTCTACATGCGAAAAATTGTCGTTGGTAGGCCATTAAAGGAATCGTAACATCGCAAGAGTTGTGCACATGAGTGATTTAGTGCATCAATTATAGGATCAACCTATCCATCCCCGTCTCACATACGCCCAATGTCTCCATCGTCCTTTGGTGACGCTAAGGGAGTAGACGCATTGTTGTCTATTATTAATGCAGAGACATCCTCTGCTTTAGACTAATGAGGTGAATTACCATGACCTGCCGACGACGCGACCGCTGTACTAGAATTCGGCGTTGTCACACTTAAATCTTGTTTCGTCGTCGATTCATCACGTTGAACTCGCTTAGTGGTAAGAGATATGTGAGTGCCTTTGCAGCCAGACGACCGTCCTTCCACTATTAGATGGCATCAGAACGACGTGCGGTTTCGCTCAGATAAATGACGAACTCATAGGCAGTTCAAAAAATCTGGCACAAATGACGAGCGGCATCGTCTTTTACGGCAATTGTCAAGTGCTTCTTCTTCGTTGCGATTTTCAAAGAGCGCTAACTATGATTTTGAAGCGAAGGTTGGTGAAACGGGGTCGACACGTCGCAAGATACTTGTCGTGTGAAGGCACAGAAAGGTATGAGAAAGACTCTAAGTGCGGTACGCACTAAGATCTTTCATGTGGTTGGGTCACAGCGATTGCGTACCTACTACAAAGTGTGTGTCACGCACGGATGACGTCACTACTAGACGTCATTGCCTGATGACAATGAAGTAAGTCATCAGCGCGTTTATATTCAGTTCAAGCGCGCTGTAATACGGAGTTTCACCAGATCGCGCATCTATCCTTTTGTATTTTAGCTAATAACAATGTGGATTTCTATTTGATTCATAAATACGATATCAGTCTTTAATTTTCAATCTTTGCAACGCGTGTGTTGGAGAACGAGGAACCGCGTCCGAGCCACACTAACTGCACGCCTACATGTATTGGTAAGGCAGTCGAAAGACGCCCATCCGAACCTCACTGCAAGCGAGAATACAGTAAAGCCACTTTTGCACAGGTGGAAGAAGGGGTGTTAAGATCGTGCTTGGCAGATTTAAGCGCCTGCCTACAAGTTGACATGGATCTTTATACGACACACAAAAACACCAAAATACGTACCATGTTAGTGCGGCGATAAGATTTTGATCATCATGTCGACCTTCATACGCATTTCAATTTTTTTATATATCCTATTAGTCCTGGTATCGCGAAGGGGCCAACATTTGCATCTGACAATTGACCGTGAATTAGCGCGGCTCCAGAGATTGTACGTCTCGTATTGAACCGGCAATCGTAGGGCTGGGAGGATAATTATGTAATGAGTCTAAATGAAGTAAATTTATACGTCTCTTTGTAGAAGAGCGGGCGCTTATAGTCTGCAGTTTATATGGCAAAACCAGCGTGTTAAACATACTCGCGGTCGGCTAAAGTGCAACTACACGTAACATTGCAACTGTTCTCGCCTGTCATTACGATCTTATTCTAACTGACGGCGTAGAGTGATCTAATACCATATAAATTCATGTCTTCTAGTCATTAGTGTTGTGGCTGAAGTCAACTGCGTAATTTTAATTACCACCCTCCAATAGGTAAGAAGTTTTAATCAGACCTTTTAATAGAATTAAAATTATTCACTTTTTAGTACCTTAACAACTTTTGGAACTTTTTTTTCTTCCACGGGTCTTTTTCTGCTCAGCCTGTTGTAAAAAATTGTCTCGTAGAGTATTAAGGTTTTTCCTTAGCAAAAAAAGACGTTGTTTTATCGTCTTTGTCATGCCAGTGATTTGTTTTGTGACCGCTTAAAGCTGTCGACAAAAGCGCGCAATCCCGCCTTTAATGTTCTTGTGAAGCTGTCTCTGTTGTAAAAAGGTTCTATTTGCTTATACTACGTCTTCGTGGCGCACATGGGGGACGCGATCCACCAAATCCGTTTCTGGGACATTCGACATTCTCAGATATATATCGTTATAGATTTTCCGATTTTCACCTTTACCCCTCCCCATATTAACTCACGCGATGATCACGATGCTGCTCGTTAAAAAAGGATTTAAAGCAATTAATGGAGCTAGTTTAATCCACTATGATACACATAAGTCCAGCTCTTTATCGCTTCCGAGCTGTTTCATATAATGCGCACAAATCCTTAGTGGAGCCCTTTACAGACCAGATAGCACTTGCAAGCAGGATCAATACTTATTTTCAAATTTAGAAAAACACCTATTGGATGGCTGCTGTGCAGCACACCCAAACTTAGTATTTTTAGAAAGCATTTCAATGTTCCTCTGGATTGTTTGATCGGCAATCATTTTCTTTTGTTATGGTACGATAAATACAAATAATCTCAATTTACATCGATCGGCCATGGGCGGCTTAAGAAGATGCTTTTTTCAGTCATTGTTTGTTTTCTTAATTTGACAACTTGTACTTCACGCAACCCCGCCTTAGGTGATGATGGAGACTAGCTCTATTTCTTTACTTTCAGATTAGTACACTCGCTCGGGTTTGGATAAGCTACAACACATAAACGGTAAAGAGTGTTCGGTCGTACTGGAAAAGCATGTAAGACACTGGAACATTTATGTACTAAGTGCAAGCCGCACCTCCACGCTGACGAAATTTGTTTATGACCTTAATTTGTGTAAGTGACTAACAGGCTTGTAATTACGTTTTCTTTTCCATGTGTTCTCAGTGCGTAACTCTATATATCTTGACATAATACTCTAGTGTTCAGTTCATGGTCAGTCTCTTGATAAATGCCTCCGTCACATCTAGCACTCATCCTCGTAATTCCTCGTAATTGAATGTATTGGTGTCTAATCAAGGTCGCCTGGAACGTGGAGCGGTAGGGGTGCTGTTATTTGCTCGGCCGAAATTTGGTTTTATAGATCCGCAATTCCAAGGGTATAATAAATCATTTTTAATCTCTCCTTTATCAAAGCAGCCATCATTTAAAGAGAGTGTAAATGCGCCAAATATTGTACAAGCTGAATATACTGTAATTTAACATGCAAATGCTAGCCGAAAACCTTGTATAAGTGCTTTCATAGGTACATGATACAAGGGAGGGACCCTGTGCAGCTATCTCTTACATGCAAGTGGCAGCCTGTGGATCGTATTGCAAATTTTTGTATAGGCAAATCTCGAACTAAGAATAAATATACTATAATTGGTACTAACAAATGAAGCAGGAGAGAACGTAGATTACTATTTTTCTACGTACAGGCCAGGGACTCAATTGTAAGCAGAATTGTACATTACAAATACTGTTTGTTTTAGTGACAAGTATGTCCCTTTTCTCTAGTGGTGCTCGCAGACACTGATCTGATTGAACAATGAGTAAGTTTACGATCTCGGTCTTGCTTAGGAATGCGAAATAATTTTTATTCTCCTAACGAACAGATCATTACCGCATAATGTATGTAGACTAATAGCTATAGTAAATCCAATTCGCAATTCTCCCTACCAGTTGCCATTTTAGATTTATAACGATTTCTTCAAAATAACTACCAGCATCGTTTTGTAATTTGCTGTAGTCGTCCATTCTCTCCACACTCCCTAATTTCCAAGTCTTGTTGAAACTCTTCTGGAGGGCCGTATGTAACTTGATAAGACACTACCAACCAAGTACTGATACGGTACGCCACTTTTTACTTTCATTTAAACGTCACCAGCAGTAGCAGCGATGGCGACGCCATTAATATATATTTGTGTTAATATAAAATTCATTTTAATAGAAGCCAAAGATTTTGGAAAAGCTATTACATCATTCATGATCCCGGAAAGGTGGTGTGGGGAAATTCAGTTTGCTAAAGTAAGGCCAGAGGCCAATTGTAAAGGATGTGATCGATTCTAGATGAAGTTGGCAAAATGCAAAGTGAATATATTTAGGTCCTTAGTTCACAAACTCCTGTTGCTAGTCTAAGCCTACTGAATTCTTTCTGCCTATACGTTAGTAATCGCCACATTGCGCATTACTACTGGTATAGAGCAGATTAGTAATCGCCACATCGCGCATTACTAATCGTCTAGTCGCACATTACTAAATCTAGGCGGTGTGTTTCTAACAAACACCTAAACTTACTAAATGTGGGGGACGTCACTGTCTGGCAGGACAGTGCTGGTGAACCCCGGCACACCAGTACCCGAAGGTATTAACTTTTATTGCAGTCACTGGATATCGAACCAGTGACCTCTCGTATGGTGCTGCCACACCATACCACATGAGCTACGTGCATCTTACAAAATCAGCCTGCCGAGGCATTTCTTTTGTAACACTCCCACTCGCCTCGGCAGACCGTGGCGCCTTGATTCCCAACATACTTCGAAGATACTGGAACTGTGATGCAGGAATTGGCTTGGTCATTAGGTCAGCCTTCATGTCCTTGGTCGAGCAGTATTCTAGGACCACTTTTCCTTCTGCCACCTTTTCACGCACAAAGTGATAACGAATGTCGATGTGCTTGGTCCGCTTGTGAAACTCGGGGTTCTTGGCCAAAGCGATGGAACCTTGATTGTCTTCGTAGATCTTGACTGCTTCGTCGCTATTCATCTCGCCGAGTTCATGTAAGAATGCCTTAAGCCAAATTGCTTCTTGTACAGCTTCAGTCAAAGCCATGTACTCGGCTTCTGTAGACGATAGAGCCACGATGCTCTGTTTCTTGCTTCTCCAGCTAATGCATCCGTTGTTCATCACAAAGGCGTACCCGCTTGTGCTTCGTCTAGCCTCGACATCTCCAGCCCAGTCCGCGTCCGAGTAGCCTTGCAGCTTGTCATCACTGGTTGCTTGGAATTCAATTCCATACGTCCTTGTGCCTTGAATAAAACGGAACACCCGCTTTAGCGCTTGCCAATGGGTTGGACAAGGTTCTGCCGCGAACTGACTGAGAACTCCCACTGCAACTGCGATATCCGGGCGGGTCCCCACCATGAGATACATCAAACAGCCGATGGCGTTGCGGTATGGCACATTTGCCATTGTTTCCGCATGCTTGCACCCATCTGCACACATTGACCTTGTCAACTTGAGTCCAGGTTCTTGTGGAGTCTTGACAGGATTGCTGTTTTCCATGCCAAACTTCTCAAGGATGTCCTTTGCCTGACCAGTCTTTACTTGGGCCATGTCCTTCATCTCACCAGCTTTGTCTTTTGCCTGACCAGCCTTGTCTTGTGCCATGTCCTTGGCTTGGCCCGCCTTCTCCGCAGCCATGTCCTTCATCTCACCAGCTTTGTCTTTCGCCTGGCCAGCCTTATCCTCCTTCTTTGTCGAGGCCTCAGTGACCTCGGCAGGAAGCACCGGTGTCATACAAAGCTTGAACAATCCCATTCCTTCTAGAGCGCCTAGTTTCCACTTGAAACCCTTCGTTTCCGCGAAGCAACCATCGACTTCAAAGGTGACAGGCCCCACGTCCTTGATGAATCTTCCAACGGAAAATAAGTTTCGAGATAACTTTGGGATATGCCACACATTTGTGAGCACACCCTTCTTGACGCCCTGACGAGTCATCATTGACATGACAATGTCACCCTTTCCAATCGCTTGTACAATTCCATCATCAACAAGATGCACATCTACTGGTCCAAAGTCCTTGTAGTTCCTCATGAACTCTTTCGAACTTGTCATGTGCTGCGTCGCCCCTGAATCGACCAGCCACATGTAACTCGACTTGGTCTTGCCAATACCAACCGAGAACAGGTAATCGCCAAGCTCTTCTTCTTGCGCGATATTCGCACGCTGGAACCTCTGTCTACCAGCGTCTTCTTGGATCCGCGAAGGGCATTCCGCAATCCAATGTCCTTGCTTTCCACAATTGTGGCACGCACCGGTCTTCTTAGCCGGTCGAGCCTTGCACTTGTTGTCTCTTGACATGAATGCTTGAGCTTGATCGTGCGCGGCTCCTTCGATTCCGCCACCTTGCTCCTTGCGCTTCATGTCTTCATGCAATAGCCGAGACGTCACTAGCTCCCACGACAGCGAGTCGGCTCTCGACTCCAATGCTGTTATCAGGAACTGGTACGACTCGCTAAGGCTGGCCAGAAGCGTGATGACCAAATCGTCCTCACTGACCGGAGCACCGACTGCGTCCAATTGCTCCGCCAGAGTCTTGAGTCTGTTGATGTGCTCCAGCACGTCATCACCTTCTCCCATCATTGTCGTGAAGAACCGGCGACGAAGGAAGAGCTTATTAGCCAGCTTTTCTTCTCGTAGTGTCCTTCCAGACGTGACCATGCATCATACGCGTCCTTCGCCGAGCGAACCAGTGGCAACTGCGAATCCTCCATCGCAAGACAGATTATCGCTAGCGCCTTTCGCGACTTTCGCTTGAACGTCGCTTGGTCCAAAGTACTTGTACAGTGCTCGATCTTGACCTCGCCGCTCACGACGTCCCACAGGTCTCGCTCCTCCAGCACCATTTGCATCTTGAACTTCCACACATGGAAGTTTGTTCCAAAGAACTTGTTAATGCGAGCGGCGGTAAACGGAGACGAGTCCATGGCGAAGGCGTGATCGAGGTCTTTGTCAGAGTCTGCGAAGCTTGGGCTCATAACCTAAAGGATGTGATCGATTCTAGATGAAGTTGGCAAAATGCAAAGTGAATATATTTAGGTCCTTAGTTCACAAACTCCTGTTGCTAGTCTAAGCCTACTGAATTCTTTCTGCCTATACGTTAGTAATCGCCACATTGCGCATTACTACTGGTATAGAGCAGATTAGTAATCGCCACATCGCGCATTACTAATCGTCTAGTCGCACATTACTAAATCTAGGCGGTGTGTTTCTAACAAACACCTAAACTTACTAAATGTGGGGGACGTCACTGTCTGGCAGGACAGTGCTGGTGAACCCCGGCACACCAGTACCCGAAGGTATTAACTTTTATTGCAGTCACTGGATATCGAACCAGTGACCTCTCGTATGGTGCTGCCACACCATACCACATGAGCTACGTGCATCTTACAAAATCAGCCTGCCGAGGCATTTCTTTTGTAACACTCCCACTCGCCTCGGCAGACCGTGGCGCCTTGATTCCCAACATACTTCGAAGATACTGGAACTGTGATGCAGGAATTGGCTTGGTCATTAGGTCAGCCTTCATGTCCTTGGTCGAGCAGTATTCTAGGACCACTTTTCCTTCTGCCACCTTTTCACGCACAAAGTGATAACGAATGTCGATGTGCTTGGTCCGCTTGTGAAACTCGGGGTTCTTGGCCAAAGCGATGGAACCTTGATTGTCTTCGTAGATCTTGACTGCTTCGTCGCTATTCATCTCGCCGAGTTCATGTAAGAATGCCTTAAGCCAAATTGCTTCTTGTACAGCTTCAGTCAAAGCCATGTACTCGGCTTCTGTAGACGATAGAGCCACGGTGCTCTGTTTCTTGCTTCTCCAGCTAATGCATCCGTTGTTCATCACAAAGGCGTACCCGCTTGTGCTTCGTCTAGCCTCGACATCTCCAGCCCAGTCCGCGTCCGAGTAGCCTTGCAGCTTGTCATCACTGGTTGCTTGGAATTCAATTCCATACGTCCTTGTGCCTTGAATAAAACGGAACACCCGCTTTAGCGCTTGCCAATGGGTTGGACAAGGTTCTGCCGCGAACTGACTGAGAACTCCCACTGCAACTGCGATATCCGGGCGGGTCCCCACCATGAGATACATCAAACAGCCGATGGCGTTGCGGTATGGCACATTTGCCATTGTTTCCGCATGCTTGCACCCATCTGCACACATTGACCTTGTCAACTTGAGTCCAGGTTCTTGTGGAGTCTTGACAGGATTGCTGTTTTCCATGCCAAACTTCTCAAGGATGTCCTTTGCCTGACCAGTCTTTACTTGGGCCATGTCCTTCATCTCACCAGCTTTGTCTTTTGCCTGACCAGCCTTGTCTTGTGCCATGTCCTTGGCTTGGCCCGCCTTCTCCGCAGCCATGTCCTTCATCTCACCAGCTTTGTCTTTCGCCTGGCCAGCCTTATCCTCCTTCTTTGTCGAGGCCTCAGTGACCTCGGCAGGAAGCACCGGTGTCATACAAAGCTTGAACAATCCCATTCCTTCTAGAGCGCCTAGTTTCCACTTGAAACCCTTCGTTTCCGCGAAGCAACCATCGACTTCAAAGGTGACAGGCCCCACGTCCTTGATGAATCTTCCAACGGAAAATAAGTTTCGAGATAACTTTGGGATATGCCACACATTTGTGAGCACACCCTTCTTGACGCCCTGACGAGTCATCATTGACATGACAATGTCACCCTTTCCAATCGCTTGTACAATTCCATCATCAGCAAGATGCACATCTACTGGTCCAAAGTCCTTGTAGTTCCTCATGAACTCTTTCGAACTTGTCATGTGCTGCGTCGCCCTGAATCGACCAGCCACATGTAACTCGACTTGGTCTTGCCAATACCAACCGAGAACAGGTAATCGCCAAGCTCTTCTTCTTGCGCGATATTCGCACGCTGGAACCTCTGTCTACCAGCGTCTTCTTGGATCCGCGAAGGGCATTCCGCAATCCAATGTCCTTGCTTTCCACAATTGTGGCACGCACCGGTCTTCTTAGCCGGTCGAGCCTTGCACTTGTTGTCTCTTGACATGAATGCTTGAGCTTGATCGTGCGCGGCTCCTTCGATTCCGCCACCTTGCTCCTTGCGCTTCATGTCTTCATGCAATAGCCGAGACGTCACTAGCTCCCACGACAGCGAGTCGGCTCTCGACTCCAATGCTGTTATCAGGAACTGGTACGACTCGCTAAGGCTGGCCAGAAGCGTGATGACCAAATCGTCCTCACTGACCGGAGCACCGACTGCGTCCAATTGCTCCGCCAGAGTCTTGAGTCTGTTGATGTGCTCCAGCACGTCATCACCTTCTCCCATCATTGTCGTGAAGAACCGGCGACGAAGGAAGAGCTTATTAGCCAGCTTTTCTTCTCGTAGTGTCCTTCCAGACGTGACCATGCATCATACGCGTCCTTCGCCGAGCGAACCAGTGGCAACTGCGAATCCTCCATCGCAAGACAGATTATCGCTAGCGCCTTTCGCGACTTTCGCTTGAACGTCGCTTGGTCCAAAGTACTTGTACAGTGCTCGATCTTGACCTCGCCGCTCACGACGTCCCACAGGTCTCGCTCCTCCAGCACCATTTGCATCTTGAACTTCCACACATGGAAGTTTGTTCCAAAGAACTTGTTAATGCGAGCGGCGGTAAACGGAGACGAGTCCATGGCGAAGGCGTGATCGAGGTCTTTGTCAGAGTCTGCGAAGCTTGGGCTCATAACCTAAAGGATGTGATCGATTCTAGATGAAGTTGGCAAAATGCAAAGTGAATATATTTAGGTCCTTAGTTCACAAACTCCTGTTGCTAGTCTAAGCCTACTGAATTCTTTCTGCCTATACGTTAGTAATCGCCACATTGCGCATTACTACTGGTATAGAGCAGATTAGTAATCGCCACATCGCGCATTACTAATCGTCTAGTCGCACATTACTAAATCTAGGCGGTGTGTTTCTAACAAACACCTAAACTTACTAAATGTGGGGGACGTCACTGTCTGGCAGGACAGTGCTGGTGAACCCCGGCACACCAGTACCCGAAGGTATTAACTTTTATTGCAGTCACTGGATATCGAACCAGTGACCTCTCGTATGGTGCTGCCACACCATACCACATGAGCTACGTGCATCTTACAAAATCAGCCTGCCGAGGCATTTCTTTTGTAACACTCCCACTCGCCTCGGCAGACCGTGGCGCCTTGATTCCCAACATACTTCGAAGATACTGGAACTGTGATGCAGGAATTGGCTTGGTCATTAGGTCAGCCTTCATGTCCTTGGTCGAGCAGTATTCTAGGACCACTTTTCCTTCTGCCACCTTTTCACGCACAAAGTGATAACGAATGTCGATGTGCTTGGTCCGCTTGTGAAACTCGGGGTTCTTGGCCAAAGCGATGGAACCTTGATTGTCTTCGTAGATCTTGACTGCTTCGTCGCTATTCATCTCGCCGAGTTCATGTAAGAATGCCTTAAGCCAAATTGCTTCTTGTACAGCTTCAGTCAAAGCCATGTACTCGGCTTCTGTAGACGATAGAGCCACGGTGCTCTGTTTCTTGCTTCTCCAGCTAATGCATCCGTTGTTCATCACAAAGGCGTACCCGCTTGTGCTTCGTCTAGCCTCGACATCTCCAGCCCAGTCCGCGTCCGAGTAGCCTTGCAGCTTGTCATCACTGGTTGCTTGGAATTCAATTCCATACGTCCTTGTGCCTTGAATAAAACGGAACACCCGCTTTAGCGCTTGCCAATGGGTTGGACAAGGTTCTGCCGCGAACTGACTGAGAACTCCCACTGCAACTGCGATATCCGGGCGGGTCCCCACCATGAGATACATCAAACAGCCGATGGCGTTGCGGTATGGCACATTTGCCATTGTTTCCGCATGCTTGCACCCATCTGCACACATTGACCTTGTCAACTTGAGTCCAGGTTCTTGTGGAGTCTTGACAGGATTGCTGTTTTCCATGCCAAACTTCTCAAGGATGTCCTTTGCCTGACCAGTCTTTACTTGGGCCATGTCCTTCATCTCACCAGCTTTGTCTTTTGCCTGACCAGCCTTGTCTTGTGCCATGCCCTTGGCTTGGCCCGCCTTCTCTGCGGCCATGTCCTTCATCTCACCGGCTTTGTCTTTTGCCTGACCAGCCTTGTCTTGTGCCATGTCCTTGGCTTGGCCCGCCTTCTCCGCAGCCATGTCCTTCATCTCACCAGCTTTGTCTTTCGCCTGGCCAGCCTTATCCTCCTTCTTTGTCGAGGCCTCAGTGACCTCGGCAGGAAGCACCGGTGTCATACAAAGCTTGAACAATCCCATTCCTTCTAGAGCGCCTAGTTTCCACTTGAAACCCTTCGTTTCCGCGAAGCAACCATCGACTTCAAAGGTGACAGGCCCCACGTCCTTGATGAATCTTCCAACGGAAAATAAGTTTCGAGATAACTTTGGGATATGCCACACATTTGTGAGCACACCCTTCTTGACGCCCTGACGAGTCATCATTGACATGACAATGTCACCCTTTCCAATCGCTTGTACAATTCCATCATCAGCAAGATGCACATCTACTGGTCCAAAGTCCTTGTAGTTCCTCATGAACTCTTTCGAACTTGTCATGTGCTGCGTCGCCCCTGAATCGACCAGCCACATGTAACTCGACTTGGTCTTGCCAATACCAACCGAGAACAGGTAATCGCCAAGCTCTTCTTCTTGCGCGATATTCGCACGCTGGAACCTCTGTCTACCAGCGTCTTCTTGGATCCGCGAAGGGCATTCCGCAATCCAATGTCCTTGCTTTCCACAATTGTGGCACGCACCGGTCTTCTTAGCCGGTCGAGCCTTGCACTTGTTGTCTCTTGACATGAATGCTTGAGCTTGATCGTGCGCGGCTCCTTCGATTCCGCCACCTTGCTCCTTGCGCTTCATGTCTTCATGCAATAGCCGAGACGTCACTAGCTCCCACGACAGCGAGTCGGCTCTCGACTCCAATGCTGTTATCAGGAACTGGTACGACTCGCTAAGGCTGGCCAGAAGCGTGATGACCAAATCGTCCTCACTGACCGGAGCACCGACTGCGTCCAATTGCTCCGCCAGAGTCTTGAGTCTGTTGATGTGCTCCAGCACGTCATCACCTTCTCCCATCATTGTCGTGAAGAACCGGCGACGAAGGAAGAGCTTATTAGCCAGCTTTTCTTCTCGTAGTGTCCTTCCAGACGTGACCATGCATCATACGCGTCCTTCGCCGAGCGAACCAGTGGCAACTGCGAATCCTCCATCGCAAGACAGATTATCGCTAGCGCCTTTCGCGACTTTCGCTTGAACGTCGCTTGGTCCAAAGTACTTGTACAGTGCTCGATCTTGACCTCGCCGCTCACGACGTCCCACAGGTCTCGCTCCTCCAGCACCATTTGCATCTTGAACTTCCACACATGGAAGTTTGTTCCAAAGAACTTGTTAATGCGAGCGGCGGTAAACGGAGACGAGTCCATGGCGAAGGCGTGATCGAGGTCTTTGTCAGAGTCTGCGAAGCTTGGGCTCATAACCTAAAGGATGTGATCGATTCTAGATGAAGTTGGCAAAATGCAAAGTGAATATATTTAGGTCCTTAGTTCACAAACTCCTGTTGCTAGTCTAAGCCTACTGAATTCTTTCTGCCTATACGTTAGTAATCGCCACATTGCGCATTACTACTGGTATAGAGCAGATTAGTAATCGCCACATCGCGCATTACTAATCGTCTAGTCGCACATTACTAAATCTAGGCGGTGTGTTTCTAACAAACACCTAAACTTACTAAATGTGGGGGACGTCACTGTCTGGCAGGACAGTGCTGGTGAACCCCGGCACACCAGTACCCGAAGGTATTAACTTTTATTGCAGTCACTGGATATCGAACCAGTGACCTCTCGTATGGTGCTGCCACACCATACCACATGAGCTACGTGCATCTTACAAAATCAGCCTGCCGAGGCGTTTCTTTTGCAACAAATTGCGCAATCACACGCGCTATGCTTCGGCTACTACAGTAGCCGCAAGTGGTGGTCAGACTGTGACCACCAACGCGCCAACACACACCAATAGTGGTGGGAAAAGGCTTCGGTCTCGAGATGACACTGGCCACGATGCTCAAAATATTTACGGCGCAGGTACTGTTGTCGAAGGAAAATCTCATACTTCAATGAGTTATTCTACTCCAAGTTCAACGACACTTCACCGGATACTGGTATAGGCCACAACGACTGCGTCGTTTCATGAGTTTCCCCACATTAAACTGACATTTCTCTTGCTCAATAAGCTTGTTGGTTGGCAAATGGTATACCTAAAAAGGATCATGAGAAGGTACACTTCTAGCTAAGCGATCTCTATGAGACATTGGCAAAGACTCAAATCGCTCTCGACGCGACGTAAGCTCGCGTTCAAGTGTTGTGGTAGGATCAAACCCGAACGGAGACCCATCTTGAACTCCTGATTCGGATTCAGCATTTGATGGTAAGGCCAACTTCCGCGGAGAAAGCTCCTCCAAGCTCACGTGGGAGTTTCCCGATACGGCTTAAGCAAGACAAATTAGAACACAGGATGTGTGCTCAATGTACGCTGAAGTTTTAGCGTATACGAAAGTCCCTTATTAGAAACGACCGTAAATGGTCCAATGTTGCGCGAACGCAACTTTGTCTTAAAGACAGCGGACACTGTAGATAGAAATTTAGCATTGGGCAATACTTGGTGTCCGAACTAAAAACGTTCAATAAAGCCTCTATTTCTAAAATCTGATTGTTATTTTTGTTGGGGTTTGG